AAAGATTTGTGGCGTCGCACACTCTTTGGAAGCGGACTACCTCTGGAGGAGGTAGGGCGGCAGCTGGAGTGAAAACGATTGAGATTTCAGAGGGTCCATGCGGTTCACTCTTGACTCCATTTCGAGTTTCTCCTAAGTGCCCCAGTGCAATAGAACGGATAAGGTGCCATTCTCACCCTTAAAAGTCGGTTTCCCCTTGATCATCTCAACCGTGACGTGGCATGGAAGATCGCTCGGAGACGTGCATGCGCCGGAGTGGATCGCTGCGGCGCACACTTCCGACTCCGGCGCGTACTCTCCGCTTCCGAAGACTTTTGCTTGAGGTGTTTCTGGAGCGGTGTCTACAACTACTTCTTTTTCTCCGTTTTTCCCCAATAGAAGCTTTAGACAGGATGAATGCAGGAGCTGAACCTCCAGAATGGCGTGGTTTCAGACACTGAGTTGGGCAAGCAATCGTGAGCCTCTTTCCAGACTCCATTGGGTGTGCAGCAGACAAATCATCAACGGTTTGACCGCAGTCTTCGATCATGACCTAACGCAAAAGATGAAACTTAGATCAGCAAGTCTTCAGTTTGGCTGACCAGTTCCGTCGGCGGTGTCTTGGATTTTCCCCCACCAGGTGCGTTGCCAATTGGAGCCACCGTCGTTGTCTCTGTTTCTTCTTGTCGACAAACAGTTCCGTGCAACTCGAAAGACCTGCCGGTGCAATGCTGAATGGAATCACCATGAATGCCAGTCCTACCCTCCAGTATCTTCTCCGTTGACATACATCTTGGTGACCAGAATCTTCACGTATTTCGTGACTTGGGGAGACTAACGGGAGGAAGTTTCTTGTGGAACCTTCACTGTTCTTACCACTGGGTATGTTAGTCGATCCATGTTGTTTGAGTGCAGTATTGTAAACGTCTGTGTTGAGTTGGGAATGTTGATCAGTGGGAGTTGCGATAAACTACCTGTTTGTTCCCTTCCTCGCTTTCTTCTGAGAACGACAAGGTGATTTCCGCTGGCCATGTTACTGGGTCGTCTAATGGTTTCACTTTGAGTTCTGTGATCTGAACCGGAGACTTGAAGCGAACTATTATACTGAATAGGGTGAACCACAATGAACGCGTTTGCTTCAAAGTGTCTTACTATTCCCCGACTCCATTTCCACCCTTTGATTTCCAGGTTCTGAGCATTTGAAGCTACAAAAATGTCCTTTCAAGTGGAGGTCGTACCCAGTGGGTTGATCTATATTACGTCCACTCAATCTGAAAGACGTAGTCTGCTATACGCGCTCTCGTCATGGTTACCCATATTGGCATCCAAATTCCGACGTCTTGAATGACGACGCTTCGCAAGACTCATAAGCAACGGAGTTTGGTTTTGATAGATGAATAGGGGTTCCGCCACAAGCTCCTTCGGCGTCTTTGCGTGGCATTAAGAATGCAACAAATGGCGTCTTAGGTTTCAGCAAATTGACCGTATATAACTTCGGCTTCAATATTTCAGTTTTGTATATGGTCAAATGCGTGGCTAGTTTTCGCTCTGCCATCGAAAAAAAGGTTAAAGACTCAGAGTAATTCTTCGACGGTCTCACCGTGCAGTTCTTGATTCAGCTTCATAGATTGAAATGATGTCTCCCGTCTCCTTAAAAGCTCCGTCGCATGGACTGAAAGGGTTCGCAACACCCTGGAAAAAAACGATTCGGTAGACGACTCGCAGTGAGCAACCTTACAATCGGCGCTGCAAGATACAGGATGGCAGGAATATTGACATCGAATTGAAGCCGAGTCTGTGTTGGGATTTGCTGGGTTCGAATAGTTTTTGCCCCACTGAGAAACAGTAATTGCAACGAACTCTCTCAGCTCATCTTACAAATAAAGCAAGGGAAGATCAGCAAGAAAAATGATTCTTGCTCCCTAATCAGGAAACTCAATTGTTAGGAACAAGAAATTCGTTTACCTTTATGAGCGTATTCACCATCATACAGAAACGAAATTTCGTAGTAATTTGGGTCTAGTCTGGTATAATGAAGAGTAGAGATGCTCACCATTGATCTGCCGTTACCCAGAGATCTTCAAAGGTGATTTCGAGTTTGATTGGAAGAAATAGTTCTTCGGTATCACTTGATTTTTAGCTCCTGGCATTCTCCATTGTAGCTTGATGGAAGCATCGTCTGTATTCAATCAGTGATCTCTTTTCATCTTGCTCCTACAAGACTTACTAGGATCACTCCACCGCAAGTGATTTGAATGGATCATTTCAACCCTAAGGCAAAACCCGCTGATTTAACAATCCTTCTCTTGTCTCACCTAATGCGATTTTTTTCGCCGCCATTCAAGACAACTGGTGCTGATTCAACCGATTTTGGTCCGTCGTGCTCAGAGGGAGGAAGCAATAACACCTCCTTTTCACCAGTAGCATCCTTAGACGAGGGTGGGGGCATTCGGTCAGCGACGATGGGTTGGCCGTTAAGGAATATTCTGGCACCGCAATCGGCCTCAACTATGAAAATATACTCGGAGGTAAACGGCGCTAAAGAAACACGCAGCTACCACAAGGATGAAGGAGGACTGTTTACCTTTGACGTAGCCATCCCAACGAATTGCGAACCCTACCGGCAAAGATCGAGGATTCTGCATCGCAAATTCCCTACCCTCATTGGGAATTCCTTCAAGCGGATCCTTCCCGGTCCATTGAAAATCGATATTTTCATCATTGCGGTATAATGGATTTCCGCGGAAAAATGGGTTTTTGTAATACGAACCGCGGAGTCCGTCGGGGAAAGGATCATCCTCATATCCAGGAACCGTGGCACAATTCTCCGGTGCTTTGTCAGCTGCTTCCTTTTGGCTATCTATCTGTTCTTGGACAATCGCTATCGTTTCCTTCATGCTAACTATTTTCGCTGTTGTTTCTTCAATTTTTGTGACACAATGGTCCGCCTTCTGAATCAATGATTCAATCTTTCCTAGTCGAGCCCCGACAGCATCGTGTTGTGCTCCGCAAGTCTATCCAGTGAAATGCAATAGGATTATTATTGACAAACGTACTGTATTGTATCTCTTGAGAATATCCTCCAAGCGGTTTCGCTCCCCGTCGAGTCGCTCAACCATCTGGCAGGGATTTTTTTAAGGATTGGCGGAAGTGGTGTCCGTGACGGCACCTTTTCTACTTCATTCGCTTTGGCTTGAAAGGCTTCGTTGGCCTGATATTTGAATCACAGACGGCTCCACTTGCCCAAGCCTACTTTGGCTCGAATCAGATTATAATCAATGACGGGAGTGCAGTAGCCCCAATTCTGCGCCCCTAAAATAACGACAAGGGTAATAAAGAATGGGGCTGCTTTAACCGCCCACCCTTTCCAAGAAGTTGCACCTCAAGGTAGCACCACTCCTTCCCACTAACACCATCTGGGTTTGGAGCGTCTGTGCAGTCTGTGTAGCTGTCGCAAGTTGAAAGCAAAGTGTGGACAAAAACACAATACTATTGACCAACGTTTGATAATTTTGAACAAAGGCCGCAGCGCATAGTTGGCCATTAACCGTGAACCGATGCTAAAGGGAGAAATAGGCTTTCATGAGTCGTGTTTCAATCTTTTCTACTTGTTGGCGGAACTGAGTCAGCTCTTGAAGTGGCTGATTAACAAAAAAATTATGCCAGGGCAGTGCACTTCCCATCTTACCCCTCTGTCGTAGTCTGCAGGGGGGGTTTGAGCGAGAGTTCCAGCTATAAAGACTGATACAAAGAAGGGCGAAAGCATTCTATTTCATGGGCGATCTGGGTAAAATGGAAATTGCTTTGCAACAATAATATTAGAAAATACACCCTCAAATTCATGGTGCAAAAATAAAATATTGGTTCAACCAGACATCGGTAGATTAACGACCCAGCGCCGTGCGCCACACCAGCAGGCTTCCACAAGTGTGGAGATTTGGCGGCGGCCTGTAATTTTTTTTATGGCGAATCAGTATTCTGACGAAGATGAGATTGAATCTCTCATGCGTGGCGTCGTGGATGCCCTTGCCCCAAGAACCTCATCCTCCTTAGATATCAAGCAGATAAAGGAGGACACCAGCAGCCCTTCAATGACACCAACTGGGAGTCAAAATGAGCAATCTGGCCCACGCAGTTCCATCCTACGGCGCGTTCTGCCAAAAAAAACGGCGAAACCTCCGACATTAAGAGAGACTCTTCGAGTCAGCCGGTTGACTCTGACATTTGAAAACGTTACAACTTTTTATTATTTGGTCACAGCGTGTCTCCTCGTCAGCTCCTCAGATATATGGACGATCATTCAAACCACGTGGTGTCCTTCTTCTTGGATTCTTGTTCTTTCATTGGTTGTTCACATAATTGATCTGTGTTGTGTTGTTGGTATTATTTACTCCACTTCAATCAGGCGACGTCTTATGCTTCTGTCATTGGCGCTCAGCTCATTTCTCATTTTGTTCGACATTTTCCCTGTTTGGATCGCTTCAGTTGTCGTTTATCGAGCTCAGGAGCATTTCCAAAATATGCAGCAGGACCTTGAATTGGCTTTCGTTGCCCAATGCTGGGCTGTTCTAACGCACTTCGTCGCGATCATTTTGCTCTCCTTTTTCGTCAATGATGCATACATGGATTTTCATTTCTTCCGTACAGTCTTGCCGTCCGAAGAGCATGAAAGGAAAATCCTTTCCCATGCCTCTCCGTTTTCTTCTCCATTTGACCTTCCCCACCTGGCTCACCTCCCATCTCACACAGAATTCAGTTGATTAATTCAGCTGCATCGGAACCCGCGGAAAGCAACAGTGCAAATGAAAAGAGAAGCAGAACAGATGGCGTGTGCAGTACAGTTCAATGATTGCATCCACTGATCTTTATTGCACCGAAGAATCGTGTTTCGCTGATTTACTGGAGTCTCAGAAAAAGGAGTCTCGCATTATATTAAGGCTCATAATTGACATGCTTTGCCATTGCGGATTGTTTAACTGAATGTTTGTGGTATTTCTTTTGCTTGGTAGGAAAAGGAAATTGTCTAAAAAGTCACATTCTCGTTGTTTCAGGGCTTCTGCTCATTGCAAAGGTATCCGGAATTCCTGCATGCATTAATTGCGTCATGAATGACGGGAGACACATGATTCCATTACCCCGAAAAGTCATTTGGGAGTTGGACCAAGAATACAGGAAAGTGCAGCGCGATGCGGAAAAAGAGGAGAAACTGGAGGAGGAAGAATCAAAGCGGCAGACGAAACAGAATTTGAAACAAAGAGAACAAAGACGCAAGCGAAAAAGGATTCCAGAAGAATATCGACAAAGAAGGAAAAAGTCGATTTGGGACTTTGTTATTTTAGAACCAAAAAAACCAAAACAACTCAAAGATGACAGTAAGTCAATGTCTGTCTTTCCTAGAAATTTGTATTTTCAGAAAAATTGGAGAAGAAAATGAAGAAGGCTCGTTCTGGTGAGATGATTTGCTTGATTTGGCAAGATCTTGTATCTGGTAGATTCTTACTCATTTGGCGAGTCCCGCAAATTCCCTTTCTACCCTTCCTACTTGTATAATGAAGGTACCGATTTGTCTGGCTCTGACTCTTTACAAGCTTCTCTTTTGCAAGATGCACCGGGCTATATTGAACTCTCCGAGCCACAATGCTACTGGAGGTACTCACGAGATGGAATTTCGTGTGTCCCGAAATCCGATTTGCAATTTCGTCGTCAATTCCAAATTGATCCTTCCCTTCAAGTTGCGTATGATTCTCGCAAACATCAATACGATCGAAGCGAAGCGCCACCAAGCACTACTGCAGGTCTGACAGATGCTCTCTGGAATGATCGTATGTGGATGTGCTTCAGATGAAACGCTTCTGGCTTCGCATTCCGATAACGATCAAGGTTCGAAAACCCCGCAGTTGAAGGCGTTGATGTTGCCAGGCGGAAATGTCGACTGTGTGCGGTTGTATAAATACCAACCAACAGGAAACTGGTACTGTTTGAGAGAAGGTGCGTGGAATGAAGTGTCTAAAACGTTTGGCAATTGGTGAATTTTACAGGCGAAACTCCTGCTGATCTCGATCTCTATTCCTATCCACTTGTCCGGTTACAGAAGAGGCGCAGAGATCCAAATTATATTGCTTGGTTAATTGATACGCACAACGTCAGACTCAATGGAGACATTCGTCCTCCATATCAATTAGACGGAGACTGATTGTCTATTTTCGTGCAAGCTAGCGTTCAGTTCGATTTTTTCTTTTCATTTTTTGTTGCATGCACAAATACTTTGATCTCTTCTTGACGAAACATGGAAAGGGTTCCGATAGGTCAATTTCTCTTGCGCCGCCTCAAGGAGGCTGGATGGTAGGAATTGGATCGTGGCATTGTCTCCTCCTTTTTTTGAATTTCCAGCGATGACATTTTCGGCGTTCCTGGAGATTTTGTTCTTGGATTTTTCAATCAGATTCTCAAAAGCGATATCAATTACATTGGTAAGAGTGTTTCTCACTTCGCTGCAGTTTCACTGACTTTCTCAGGCACGTGCAATGAACTAAATGCTGGTGAGACTTTAATGTGTTACGACATCTGCCATCATTTTCAGCGTATGCCGCGGACGCTTACGCCCGAATCAAGGGGATTGGATGTGTCTCGACTACATATGTGGTCGGCGAGCTTTCTGGTATGTCCCCAAAACATGATCACTTCGACGACATGTTTTCAGCTTTGAATGGGGATTGCTGGTGCTTTTGCTGAATCAGTCCCAGTCGTCAAGATCACCGTAAGCAATTTCACGGAACTGATTCCTTATTCACTGATTCTTATTTCTGTTTTCTAGGGGGTCCCTGCGACGAGATTTTTTCGCGATCGGCCTCTCCTTCACCACACTCTCGGTACGATTGTCCCAAATTCGTTGTAGCAAAGCGTGCTTCTTTCACCAGGCGACTACCAAGCTCCGATCAAAATGGTACATCGTCATAATTTCTTCAGTCTCATTAAAATCATCTTTCTCAGTACGCTCACGTCACCGTCGCTCAAACAATTCTGGCGAATCCCGAAACAGCTGCTTCTGAAATTGATCGAGTTTTGAGGGCTTGCCTCAGACGCAAGGCTCCTGTCTACATCGGGATTCCATCGGATATGGTGCTTCGTTACGTTGATGCGCCCACTTCCCCGTTCGTCCGTCCGCCTCGATCAACTTCAGAGCCTGGTGCGTTGCAAGAGGCGATTGAGGAAGCGATGCGAATGCTTGAGAAAAGTACGAGGCCGATTTTCATTCCCGGAGTGGAAATTATCCGCAACAGCCTCGAGAAAGACTTTGAAAAACTGTTGGCTGCAAGTGGAGTGCCGTATGTGACGATGATGCTGTCGAAGGCGTTGATCGATGAGGAGCACAAGCAATTCATCGGATTGTACAGCGGGGATCGAAGTCGGAAGGAAGTTCAAGAAAGAGTTGAATCTTCGGATTGTTTGATTATTTTGGGCGAAAAATTAACCGATTTCAATACAGGAGGATTTTCTGCACGAATGGATCGTCGTAGAACAATTGAAGTTGCCCAAGAATCTGTTCGCATCATGTATCACGCTTACAATCAGGTTTACATCTATGATTTCATGCATGAACTAAGCGCAAGGATTGTCTATCGCCCCCCCACAAGAACTCGACTTCAAGCCGGCGACTGAGGGATGCGTGCATCGAAAATCACTCGCATACGAACCACAGCCGGAGGAGAATCTGACAATGAAGAGGCTGTTCCATCGAACATCGCATTTCCTGAAACCCAACTCAATCGTTATTGCAGAAACTGGTGCTTCACTTTTCTCGGCTGCTGAAGTTCTGATGCCATCAAACACTCGATTTATCGGACAGACATTTTACGGTAAGAAGACCTTTCTGTGCTTGCTCGCTCACTGGGTTCTCAGGCTCCATTGGATACACAGTGGGGGCGTGTCTTGGGGTTTGCATCGCCGCTAAAGATCGATCAGTGTACCTTTTCGTCGGCGATGGGTCGTTCCAAGTGACATGCCAAGACCTTTCTACCATGATTCGATACAATTGCAACCCAACCATCTTCCTTGTCAATAATGACGGATACACCATTGAACGAGTCATCGTCGATCGTTCTTACAATGATATTCAGAGCTGGTGAGAAAATCGCGTTCCGATTGTCCTCTACTCGATTGATCAGGAAATATGGTCAGTTGCCAAAAGTATTTGGAGGGACTGAAGACTCTCATGATTGTTACACTGAAGGAGATCTTGAAACTGCTCTTGAAGCGGTGGGACCAACAGTTGGGAATAAACTCCATTTCATCGAAGTACATCTCGGTCGATTTGACTGCAGTGAATCACTCAGGCGGGGCCGGTAAGCGAAGGGAGGGTCAACAATAGATCGATACCGGATCTTTCAGGGGCTTCTATGGCAATTAACAATCGACTTCTTGACGATGACGAGAAACCGGAGGTTGCAAAAGTCTTCGATGTTGAGGATGACGAACGCGATCCCTTTGGCATCTAAAATAATATTTTCACTGAATATTTTGAGCATTTTGGGTATTGCGTTTCTGAGGACAGCCTTCTCTATCAAACTGAACATAAGAATAATGATCTGTCCACAGTGTATAGGAACAATAGTCAGAGTGGTAAGAACTATAGAATTTAAACATTCTGATGCAACCCGTTCCTCCCATTCATCTTCTTAGTCAACCATCCAATACGAGACAACAGGCTCCCCCTTCTACGAGCGCTCCAAATCAACGCCGCGCCGTCACTCCTTATCGCCCACGAACTCCATTCACTTTCATTCTTCAAAGTATTTTTGTTTGCTGCAACATTGCAATTATCGTTTTAGTATTTCTTTCATGGATCCATTTTAATAACTATGTTATTCGAAGCACCTCCAATAACCCTTATGGCCCTTCAACAGGATTACCCTGCGCTTCCAGAATGCTCAGCTGGATGCAGGCGTTATTTGGGCTTTCAGTTGCGACAAAATTTGGACTTCTTTGGATTCTTATTGCTGAATTTCTGGAACTCCATGTTGTTCAAAGACCAAACAAAGGTTATGACTGTATGGTATTCACTTCCTTGGTCTTCAAGATGACGATTCCGTTTGGCTTTGGGTTTAAACTTTTTTGGTGAGGCAAACAAATTTGGAGAAATCCGACTGCACGATTTCTCATCCAGGCACCTCTGTGGTAGCGTGGTTCTTGCTGACGCGAGGTACTGACACTCTATGAAACAGCCCCCCACTCTCTTCATTGCAGATCTTGCCACGCGTCATGGATAGCTAGCCCGCTTCCTGCCGATCCTTCTTATGCCAAGGACTTATTAGATCTCAAGGCTGCAGATGCTGGACTTTTAAATGAGCTACAGGTCTTATGGTTGGTCATCCTTCTCATCTATTTGGTTGGAATCGGGATTTTCCTCTTTGGAATTGTTCTTTGTACAACAAATGATTCAGTCGCTGCAAACTCTGGCCATCCAACGTCTGGCGGCCCAACAGCAACAGCTTGGGGACACCCTCAGGCCCGGAGCGACCATCGGAAGAGGGAGGGAGACCGACAGATCTTTCGGCTTCGAGGGGTCCCTATTTGAACGACCCCTGGATCTGGCTTGCGGACGGAGACGGACGCGTAGTGGGACAGCAAGGAAACCACCGGCGAACACGAGGACTGCCGCAACACGATGTCGAAGACCTTCCGCAGTTCCGCTTTAAGAGTCTGACAGGCGAGGGATCTCTTTCTCCTCAACGGTCTCATTTAGGCGACTGGTTCCACCGTTTATCACCAAAATCTATTGCGACAATTACAGCCCCAGCAGCGACAGGACCAACCCTGTCCCAAAGCCCCTCTCTAGCGTCCGTTGTGTCTGCGCCCGAGTTGCGGTCCGCGACAGTTGACCCTATCAGCATAAACGAGACGAATCATGGCCGGGCTGTGAATAACCAAGGTCGACTTCAGCAGTCTCGAATCTTTCGCGCAGAGGGCGAGCATGACATGTCGCCATCCAACGAACCAGACGATGATCATACTCCAGCGCAGATTGAGCCAGAAGCACGCGAATCGAGCGAGTCAGATAGCCCACAGTCGTTCACGATTCCTTCCAGATCGGACGACTCGACGATTGGTGTCGCAGAAATTTCTCATGGAAGATCAATGCGACGACACCACACGACTCGCCGTTCTACTTTCCTTCATCGTCCCCCCCATCAGCTCGCTTTGGTGCTTCCCACAGAACCCCCCCAACAGCAAATACAACTCCCGCCTATGAGCCGACAGAGAACAGCCATCATTGACTCCCACTTGTGGCTCTACCACATCTTTCTAGCGCTTGTCTATCTCTTGATCACCATTACTGACATTCGCTCGCCGGAACGCTGTTCTCGCTCTGCTGAATCTGATATCGACGACTACATCGAAAACGCGCTCCTTAATTGGACTCTCTGCTGCGGAGCAAATCCAGAAGGGCTCTCTTGCTCGCGGAGACTCTCCTCCTGGTGTCGAACCCTTTGGACCTGCAAAAGAAGCAAAGAGTCTGGTAGCAGGAGGCTCACGAAACGGGAGAAAGACGGTTTAATTCATGAAGCACTTGAAGCAAAATTCGAAAAATTAACCGCCTGCTGCATTTGCTTCAACGATTTTCGTCCCTCGGATCTTCTCGTCGTTGTTCCATGCAAGTATCGCCATTACTTTCATCGCGGATGCACACAAATATGTACGAAAATGACTGAATTCTATTTCTGACCTTGTGGCTATGCAGGGCTTCGTCGGCATAACTCGTGTCCGCTTTGCAGAGGAAACCTTGAAGACGGATTAGAGAGACTGCGGCGTTGCAGATCCCTGGAAGGAAGTTCGCAAACATTAGATGCTACGCGAGTCGATGTGGATTCTGTACGCGATGCAACGCTAGAACAGGAAACTAGGAGCTGATTCACAAAGTTCCTTCCTCAGCGTATCTGACGCGTTATTCTTTGTAGTCGAATAGGATAGGAACCAATAAATGAATCCACTGCTCTCTGAAAATCCCAACAAATGTATCTAATCTTAACCCTAAAGCAGTAGTGCCGTCAGAAGGCTTTGCTGAACCAACTCTAATTTTTGATAACCAGATTCTGCCACTGTGTTCTCTCAAATATCTCAAAGTTTAAGTTGCGAATTTTCACTTGGTACATTGATCAGCTTGAGAAATATGGGCTCGCCGTGTAGTCCCGGTCAAATTTCTGTCCACAGAAACGGAACCTAGCTAACTCTTATCATATATGCCTGCGAAGAATGTACCATCCCTTCTAAAGAAAACGGAATTGGTGCTTGAAGGTGCCGACACTTCGAAAACGATTGCCCTGACAGAAGTATCAACAGTGGAAAATGATCAACTTCAGGACGCTTCCTCGTCGGGCCCACTGTCCGCAAGAAAAACATCCCATTTGGTTCAGGAGTCATCGTGGGAAGAATCATTGAGACTACTAAGGGGCCCCGAGAAAACGTCAAAGTCTCAAGATCGACCCATAATGTCTCCTCGACCGAAATAATTCAGCAAATACGTTTGCGCGCAACTGACATCTTCGAGCAATGTTGCTACAGAGATGAGTCTCTATTTTTTGTACTTTTCGTAGCGATAACTCTTGGAAGGACTTGCTACAAGAAAATTCACAAGTGTTCGATTAATTAAGTTAACAGACCGCAATACGCTTGTTGAACCTCTGAATTGCTGGAGATCTGGAAGCAGGAATTTTTTCGAGCAAGAAAGCAAACAAACGGCAGGCGCCGATTTTGAGCTGATTGTACCCACCTTTATTTCTACCTTTAGTTCTCAAGCGTTAAGATGATGTTCGTTAGTCCATTCTTGTGCACTTTATTATTGCTTTTCGTTCAATCTTTTGCGGGAGAAGCTGCCGGAAAAGAACCACAACCAAAATTTCATATTCCAAAAAAAGAGGAGAAACAAGAAATTAAGAAGGTGTGCTAGAGCGAGCTACAGTTCACAGCTTACCAATGCCTCCGCAGGAAATTAAGCAAACGGTTTCAACTTGCTATCAAGGCTACACACTGAGAAATGACAAAAAGTGTTTCCGAGAAGTCATTGAAGCTCCACTGGAAATCAGTCCGGTTGTGAACGTTCCTTATTTGCAACGTTGCCCACCCGTAAGCCCCGCGAGCACCGCTTGCTGTCTCATTCTCTTTTGCTCAGGGCTTTAACGATGAAAAGAAGAAAAATATCTGTGCAACTTCAGTCGAGGTAATGGCACCCGCAGTCATGTTGCTTGGCTAGCTTCTTTCACCTTAGGTTCCTCCGGAATTTTATTGTCCGACAGGATGGTAAGGTTTTCAGAACACAGGAATCAATACAGCATACGTCCTCAGGCTTGATAATGTTGAAGACTGCATCATAACCGAGCCTCCAGTCTGGGTGACTGAGGTGGGCAATCGTTTTCCTGTCTTGTCATAGCTCGATGGTTTTGCAGTGCCCAAAGGGAAAAAAGTGGGAGTTCGTTGACGGCCGCTGTGTCCTGGCGCACAAAACAAAGCAGATTGTCAGCTCAAAATGCCCTGATGGAGCGCATGTGGAAGAGGATGGCCACTGCTGGAAACTCATCTCCACCTATGATTGGTAAGCAACATTTTACTGAACTGTAAGAATTCTTCTAAAATCCAGCACGCCTGAAAAAAAAGAGAAAAAGGAAAAGAAGTCTAAGAAAAATGACAAGGATGTATGGAGAAGATTGGGAGAAAAAAAGTCAAAGGAAGATGGAGGAAAGAAAAAACACGAAGAAGAAAAGAAGCATGAAGAAAAACAAAAAGTGTCCCTTCTGAAGGAAATGGAGCAGGTACTTCAGATTTGGTAAACTATGGCAGATTCTTTGTTATCAAGGTGACTCCACCACAAACTGTGAAAGTTGGTGTCGCATCACAGCTGTGTGAAAAGAAGATTCGAGTTGAACCCATTGTTCTCCTTTCATGCCCTGAGGGATTCGTTGAAATTGAGGACGAGCAATGCTGGCGAGAGGAAGTCACTGCTCCAGTGAAAGTTTGCGCGTCCAAAGAAGGAAAGGACGAACTGGATTGCCCTCCAACTACAAGATCCTCCAAGAAGGTTGCCAAATGCCCAATAGGAACTGATCGCGAGAAAGAGAGATGCTTCCAAACGACAATAGTGCCCCTCGTGAATGTCTGTCCCCATGGCTGGACGGATTCCGGAGAGGGTAGGTGGTACAGCCGTGGCTACAACAAGCATCGCTCCCTTCAGGTTGCATCGGTAGCGTTGAGACTCCAGGAGTGGAATGCCGTCCCGGTCTTCGTCTTGTGGGTGAAAAATGTGTTGGGGAGCTTGTAAGACCTGCCATAACATTGACTCTCAAAGTACCCGCAGAAGACTGTGAAACAAAGAAGTATTAGAGACATCGTTTTCATAATTGACCATCAATTTTAATGTTCTTAAGGTCGTTCAATCAACATAGTTAAAAAAGGATCTTTTCCGATCTCTTTTTCTGTTAAGATTTAATCTTTAATTCACAGTTGAATAACTGTTAACAATTTGGCGCTTAGTGACTTTGTTGCCATTTCACATTAGCTTCTCTACTTATCGAGTGCATGCGGACCGAAGATCAAACAACACATTTTCTGCATTACTGATAAGAACAACTGAATGATCTCTTTTCCTCTGAAATAGTAGCTAGTTAATTTCTAGATTTTTCAGTGTTAGCATTTCCGTCACTTTTCTAAATATGGCAAAACAGAAGAAACAACGTCCGTCAGACGCATCCACCGCTCCATCGGAAAGATCTGCTAAAGGAGATGGACGCAAGCGCCGACGCCAACAAGAGAGTGGGTGGCATTGGACCATCGCTGCTCTTGTATCGTTTGGTACGTCCGATTGAACAGTGGATTGATAATGGTGTGTGCTTCAGTCTTATCAATCTTGATGTTTACTGCTGTTGGGTTGACCGATTGGCGAAAAGCAGATAGCTATACCATCAACCACGAGAAATCGGCGTACAGTTTCAGAACAACTTACTATGGATTATACAGCATCTTGTACAGTGGGGGATTGACGCGAAAAAGTTGGGATACCCTTCGGAAGAATATCTGTGCAGCAAATGATATGTATCTTCCGTACTTTTTGTCCCAATCCTCGATGGGATTCTCCGTGGATTGTCCATCACAGTGTCAATCGTTTTATAAGACCAAGTGCTCTATGTATGGAAGAATGGCGACACTCAACTATATGGTAGGAGAAGTCCTTCCGATGAGTGATGATTTTCTGAATCCAGATGATGGCAATAATATTGGTCGGTGCCTGTCTTGCGCTTTGCGGATCGGCTTGGGTATTTGTTTTTGGAGCTCAACGTTTCATTTGCATGGTGAGACACGAACAGGCAGACTTGCGTTCTATTTGTTGTTCATCCTGCTTCAGTTATTTTGGGGGCTTGGAGGTGCAGCTCCTCTCGGTTTCAATTTTTGGTGGCTCTACGATACCGATATCGCTTTCAACAAGATGATTTATGATTCCAACACACCATATCCATCACTCAGCATTTCGTATTATATGAACCTTTGCGCTTGTATCGGACTGATCTGTTGCGCAGCCTTCGCTGGAATTGCGGCATGGATTCACGATCAACAGGAGTGGAAACGAGTATGGCGAGTGTCCTCCTGGGTGACTCATCATCTTCTCTTGCTCAGAAACAAGCTGAAATTGATCAGCGGGTTCTTAACGAGCAACTGGGTGGATCGCCCTTCCCCTACGGGGGAGCGGGTGCTGGGGCGTTCGGCGGGCAAATGGGACAGATGCCAGACCCCAAGCAGTACGGCCAGCCAAGGGTGGGTGTCTGCTTGTGCTAGATCGTACTACCTTTTACAACTCTCAGGGTCCCGTACCGCCTCGCGGATACGGCGCCCCTCCTCCAGGGCTTCATGCAGCACAAGCTCCAGGAACTGTGCGAGGTAAGGAATCGCTGGAGAAGATCTGATGTCACTTCATCTCCCATTAGGTCCTCCGATGCCCACAGGTAGGCTTCTGAACAGCTGCAGCAAGTGATGCAACGGGCTCTCTAGGGTATCGTCCTGCTCCTCCCATGGGCGCATTGCCGCGACCCGGAGCACCCCCACCGAGAGGCTTCATGTGAATGAAGCGTAGACTTCTTCTTTGTGTTCGTTTGCACGCTCAATTTCTGCATTGTCTCGGAGAAGGGTACAGGAACGTTTCTTTCCAGAATTGGGGGACGTGGTGCATAGCATCCAATTTGTTCATAACTCTTCGGTATGATGCTGTTGATCTTTTTGCTGACTACTCGCGGCTATCAATTTCTGAGTACGGCTAGTTAACTCCAATAGCGTAACCTCGTAGTAGATTTTGGTTCCCAATACCGGAATTCCAACTCTCCGACGACTACCAACGCACAAGCCAACCAGACCCTATGAAAACCCAAAGCTGCATCAGCAATGAAGCGGATCTCATACTTGATTGAGTGGTGTTACATTATGCTCTCCGATAACGGTCTTTTGGACCGCGAATCGTTTGCTTGGATCGGGTTCCTTAACGAGGGCAGCAAACTTTTGTTTCAAAAATTGCTCGCCAACTGCAAAACAACAAGAATGAAGGAACCCCGCGATGGATATGTGTTACTCGGCGAAAAAGCACTGAGCCTAATGACGGCAAAATCCCCAAGTTTCGATGCAGCGTGACACCTCCGATCCTTTAATTCATATACTGAATACCCTGGTTCCAACTCCTCCTACAAACAAGACTAAAACAGGCCTCGAATAAAACGAGGAATCAAAGTCACCTCTTGCAATGGCATCATAGCAGAACACCATAGGAACTGCAGGACGTTGCAAAAAACTATTACCAAACAACATAAAAATCTCCGTTTCATGGTGACACTAATCGCTGTTTAATAAAAAACTGCCAAAAAATGTGTTTGGTTTTGAGATGAAGAAAAAAGGGTGAAAATATTTTGTTTTAGGTTCCTTCAACCAGTTTTCGGATCCATTCTTGGAGGTTGGTGTGCTCTCGCTCACAGCTTACCAAGCAATCGTTTTGGTGTTTCGGTACGTCGAACTGAATCTTCATCTTCAAGTGAAACGAAAGCATGAAGGGTGATTATTCTGCTGACGCACCTTAGGATAACTGCCCTGAAACGTCCAGACGCCGAAACACGGCAATGAAGCTTTTGTCCGAGTGTTAGTGCTGAAGGGTAACTTTGGCGTTTTGTTGCTGGACGGCTGCGTGAATGCCATGTGATTTGAAGGGTCTATGAATTGTATGTAGCGGACATGCTGGAGCTGAATAGGAGTCCGTGCTGCTCGGCAGTTGTCAAGCTTCTTTCTGTAAGCTCGCGCGAAGCTAGAGAGAGAAGGAATACAGAAGGAAGCAGTTGCTTGTCGTCGCACCTCAGATGAATTTCGTCTGGAAACAGCATCGTAACTTGGGCTACTCCCGATGGACATCTCAGAAAGACCTTTTGGGGAAGGAATGGAGACGATTGGAAAAAGTTTTCCTACCTGCATCTTGCATGAAGCTTCTTCGATTAAAGAAGTGTAGAGGACAACTCCGTTCAAGTCGTATGGCCATGAATTGTACAATCCTAGATGCACTCCGCGGTCAGGGTCATCGTAGAGCTTCTCCCTGCTGACTACTTTAACGACGTTCTTCTGTTTCAATGGATAGATTTGAGAGAATGGAACGTGTAATGCAGGAGTTGGAGGAAGAATAGGCAGAGCGTAGCGTCTAAGCTGGTCTTTAGGACCTTCTGAATTGTCTGAACTTTGATTCAAGTGGCAAGTTAACCGATTCATCAAGCGAGAGAGTTTTCCGTCTCTGGATCCCACCATTACTTTCGATCTGAAGAAGCACACATTCCCACATTCACTCAAGTCGTAGTATTTTCCCTACAGTGGCGTGCCTCTAAGAAGTATGGGGCGACCTTCATAAACGACCGTGCCGTTTCGATTCAGCTTCTCCCGTTCTCGATAATGAATGAAGGTTGGGGGGTCCAACTCGCTGATCACGACTGACGTGCCAAGTTGAATGGAGTCAAATTGTGCTTCGCAGACCTACAAAATGGGAATATGGGATAACCAGTTTAGATTTCCTCACATTTCGAATGATAACGGCAGCGCAGTTCATAAAAAGGTCTTGAATAATCTGTGCCAGCGCATTCTCCTCCAGGCTTTCGCTCTCCACTGTTTCAACGACATCATTCAAATAGACGGGATCAACAATCAGAAGGGCTGTTTCGGATTTGAATGATGGAGCAACCGGATCTCTCGTTTCTTCGTCTTCAATGTATTTTCGATAGACGGGATGGTTGCTGAGATCTTCTAGTTCTTGATATGGAAGAAGAAAACGGATCGGAGTGGCTGAAGGTTTTTGAACGACGCATCGGACACAAAAGGGAAATTTGCGAACAACAATTCCTTGAAGGTACGGAAGGGTGGAGGTAAGGGAACGGGTTGGAATGCCTGTTGAATGGAGGGATGATAAAGAATAAGAGATGATTTTGATTACTGGAAAGTCGACGAACGGGGATGTGGGCGATTGGTCCCAACGACATCTTCGAATTCTGCGAAGGCTTAAAAGCAACAGTCGATGTTGTTCCAATGAAGCAGAAGGGATAATCACTCCAAGAATCGAAGCGGGTATTCGCGGCGCTGATCATGTGGGAATGCGGACATTCCAGTGGAACTTTTAGCAATCTAGCGGTTCGGACCATCCAACCAGATCGAATATGTTGCAATGGATCAACGTCTTTATAATGAGAAGCAGAAACTCCAACAAGAGAAATGATGAAGCCATCAGTAACAGCAAAGAATTGGATCGTCTGGCAATGCGATATGCTGTCTAGCCTCCGTTGCGCCGATAATCCCTGGCGAATCAGCTTGCGGAATTCCGAAAATTGAAGTTTTTGAAGGGGAGATACAACCATTAATTGGAGGAATATATCAGGGCTTGTGATTTCTAGAATGGAGAAATCATGAAATAGAGGGGAAAGAAAAATTCTGACCTTCTTCAATGGAGCGAAGAATGGATAAATGTTTTTTGTTCAGCCGTTTTTTGATCTTTCTCAATGCGCTAGAATAACACGGAACTCTGATTGTAGCTCTCGGAATCGTATTGCTGTGGAGACACTTTAATAGCCTTATTGTCCTCCATGCAATGAAATACGACGCCAAGACGTAACTCATCGCCAGAAGCACTGCAGTCTCTGGCTTCAACTCCGCCTCGATGCTATTGATCGTTTTCAGGATTAATGCGCCTGAAGGATCTTTATCTATGAATTGAAACTTTGTCCCCCTTCGAATTGGATCCTCCCACAGCCATAAGACGTCAAAGGGTTCTCCTGATCCCAGTCCAAGCGCCACCAGTTGATCCACAAAATTTGACCCTTGAAGAG